AACGAGGGTGCAGCTATATCAAAAGGACAGGCTACAAAACTTTCCACAACTGGTGGGAAGGGAAAAAGAAAAGGAAAGACACCTGCTTCTTTAGAAGTCAGCTCCGATAGCGAAGGCATATATGACACTTACCACACTACTTCGGATAGTGAGGGTGAACAGCTAGAAAACCAAAGTGCAACCTCTTCGGAGAGTGAGGGTGAAAATCTAGAAAACCAAAGTGCAACCTCTGGTGATAATGAGATGATAATAGCACAGAGGGTTGAACTACAATCTAAGAAGTTGAATGATCCATCCAGGATCAGGAATCCTCCACTCACCACTCCTACTCCCCCAATCCCAGAGCAAGCAATAGTGCTTGCACCCCTAATACAGGGCCCTCCTCCAAAGTCAATGAACAAATTAAAGATGGAGGGATTAAGGACAATTCTTGAGGAGAAGTGTCTCTCCACGGATGGAGTGATTGATAGATACCCCGAGATTATGAGATGTCAGAAATCTCATAACTTCCAAATTTTCACAAAACCCTGTGGCACGTATATTCCAAGTTGGGTCATAGAGTACTACAGCGAGTACAGTGCATTGATACCACAAGGGAAGAATCCGGCTGCTAAGTTTAAGCCAGTTCACTATATAGTTGTCAAGGGAAAGAAGGTACAATATACTCTCCTGCTATAAATGTCGTTCTGGGATGCACCGAGACACTGGAGGACAATAGTCAGATTATGATCACAAAGATGTCACTGGAGGATATGAAAGAATGGTTGTCCCCATTAATATCAGATGGAACTCCTAAGTGACTTGAGGCTGGGGCAGTTATCGAGAAAAAGGACCTAAATGTGGCAACGAGGTATTGGTTTGGCTTCATCAGCAGCACGGTCATGCCTTCACAAAAATGAATCTATCCTTCACTATGCAAAAGCAGCCTACTTAGGTTGTCTTATCAAGGGAACAAAGTTAAACTTGGTATGGAGCATTACTTCTGAGATACTCATGCGTGCAAGGCAGCGCTAGACTTCACTTACATTCCCAGTATTGATCACAGAACTGTGCAGACGAGCTCGAGTACCTTGAGATGCAAATAAGGATGTGGAAGTGATGCCCACATCCTCTACTAATATCCAGAGGATCGAAGATGAATATATTAAGGATCGGGTAGAGAAGAAGCAGAAGGAAGCCACAGACACTGAATCCATACATGTAGAGACATTTTCGACTAATCCGGCCCCTGGGCGTTCAGGTATATCTAATTCCACTGCCACTCTTGTTGACACTCCAGGTTTTTATGTTGTCGTGTTACCGCCCAGACCTACGGCTGTCGTTGCATCCCGTGCGCCGATCACTCAGGCATCATTGATCCGGATGGGACAACTTGCCCAATCTGCTGATCGTAGGGCAGCCAACCTAGAAACCTCCATTCCAGGCATGATTCAGAATTCCCTTACTAATGTTGTGACACCGATGAGAGCTACCATTGACGCCCTTGAGGCTAGAATAGCGATCTATGAGCGTGACCAAAGGGCCACAGATGAGGTAACAACATTAAAGGCCGTTATTACTGCTCTGAGGACTGATGAGGCTCATTTGAAGGCCACTGATATGTCCATGTTCTTTAGAAAGGTGGAGATCCCAAATGTGCCAGAACTGCCTCCGGTCATCACCAGAAGTGAGGATAGAGTTGAGCAGATAGTTGAGCCTGAGTCATAGGCAAAGACAGACGAGGAAATGTTCGACGAAACTATGGATGCTACAGATGAGGACCTGACAGAGACTGAAGCAATTATGATAGATGCAGATGTATGATCTTCCATGGCAAACACACATTTTGCTGTCTCTAGTGGAGCTGGTCTTTTCGGTGTGACCCAGAGTACTAAGGCCCGAGGCCAAACTGATACTCCAGGCATTGATACACAAATATATGGAGCAACTGCTTAGACATGATCCCCTCTTTACCTCCTTCTCTATCTTTCTTTCTTTATTTTAAATTCTGGTTATTATGTTAGTAGCATTTTAGGACAAATATTTTTAATTGTGGTGGGGTGTGACCCACCTTTGTGTGCTATATTCTTGTTGGGTTGTGAATTATAATGTTGTGTTTTACACTGCTTCTTGTGGATGTTTGATCTTGTGGCTCCTTTTATTTTAAATTGTAAATGATTTTGACCCGTTTGAAAATTTTTAAAATTTTCACCACCTCTTGTACATGCGGAATGTGCCTATTCTTTAGCAAATTTAAGTCTCGGTTTAGATCAATATCGATGACTCAAATAGTGCCTCATAATTGAATGAACATGAAAGTGTGGCTACGATGAGACCAATTGAAGTTACATAGTCAATATGTGAACTCTTTGCATCTCGTTGTGACTACCCAATTATCGAATTGATTCTCTTGTGATGAACATTACACACTAGCAAAAGTGTGGAGTCTTGTTTGACTTGGGTGTCGATGCCTTGTGTGATGAGCTTACTCTGAACCATGCATGATAACACCTAGAATTTTCCCCATTGGTCCGGTCGACTAAGTAAGGCTATCTCTTGGTATGATCTTAGGAAACTTCGAAGAGTGTGAGCCAATTTGACATATACCTCTTATGTGACCTACCTTGTGAGTGTGTGAACCTCTTTTGAACACCCTTGAGCCTTACCTTTCTTTGGAAGAAACTTGATGAAAACATGACCTTTATTAAATCCACTACCAATAATCCTCGTGATTTGTGGTTGATTGAATAGCCAACTTAGGCCAAAAGCCTAAGTTGGGGGTGTGGTGAAAAGAAAAGGCAAGTCAAGAAGTGCAAGAAAAGTCCCTTTTAACCCATGGTGTTGAGAAAAAATGGAACCCCTCCATACAAAAAAAAAGACAAGAGAAAGAAAAAGAAAAAGTTGTGAAATAAAGTTATGAGAAATGTCAAAAGAAATGGGGTTCCGAACAATCCATGGAAGTGAATAATGGGATGACTTATGAGCACTAAAGAAATTGATGAAACAAGAGGAAAGGGAGTGTTAAAAGCACCACATTTCACGAGGATGAAAGTCATTGAGCCTAAATGACCATACCTTTGCACTCAACCCCATACAAGCCTTGAAAAGACCTTTTTGATCTTGAGTGAGCTGAAACAATTGTTGATTGGAAAATATTGGCAAACTTATGGGTGAAAGCATGCATTGTGTTCTTCTTTGTGAGAGTGAGCGTTGCATTTGGTTCCAGAATTTTAAATGATTAAACCATTGTGTGTGAATATGGAATTACTCTTTGTGTGACGGCATTCGAATACCTTTGTTGAGCTCGAACTTGCATTTGAAGCAAGTTTAGTGAACTTGAGAATCTTTTATAATGGTGTGTCACAACTTGAATCTTTGAGTATACAATTGAGTCTGGTTGTGTACATTCATGGTTGAGTCTTGTTGTGTACATTCATGGTTGAGTCTTGTGTAGCACTGTTTGAGAATCCTTTTTGGACTGCCGAACTTTAGTTTTACTTGAGGACAAGCAAAATTTTAAGTTGGGGGTGTTGATGAGTCCATAATTTGGACTTATTTAAGGCAATATTTTGGTAGAATTAGTGTCCTCAAATGTATATTTTGTCTCAATATCTGATGAAAATCCTTAAGTTTTAGGTATTTAGAGTTTGAGGCAAAGCATGGACACTACTTGGCAAGAAGGAACAAGGAAGCTGAAAAGAACGAAGAAACGAAAGCCTGAAAATCGCCGAGCCCACTTAGCGAGTCGCTTATGGACTTGGAGATCTCCATTTGTTCTAGTGTGCTGAGCCCTGAAGGAAAAGATCAAGTTGGCGATAAAATGAAGCAGTCGGTGCATCGCCGATCAGTTCCGTGAAGCAGTACCATATCTCCCAACGGCTCAAAACGTGAAGAGGCTAAAGGCTAAAGCATGAAGGTGATGAAATCGACCAAAAGGTGGATCGCCGAAGGTATCGGTGATCCCGCCTAACTGCGCCAATGGTCCTCCGCAACACAAATTATCAAACATTATAAATACTTGTTTAAATTTCTAGTACTGATATCATACACTTCTATTATTCGAAGTTTTTACGGTTTTTGAGATAGTTTAAGTTTTAGAGGGTTTTGGAGACTTTGTTCTAAGACCTTGAAGATTCAAAGGGTTTCAACTCCAAGAAATTGGACGTGGGTCTTGAAGATTCTTCGTTCTTGACGTGTTTTAAGACTTAATTCTTCATACCCAGTTGATGGAAACTGATATTGATATAAATTTTTATCTCTTTTACATGTCTAGCTAAAACCCTAATTCTTTGGGTTTGATTTTATGAATATGGGTTAAATTATCTATTGGGTCTTGCTTGTTGATGGTTTATTTGTTGGTTAAATATGATTTCATTTAGTAGTTGGGTATGAACTTAATGGGATTGTAGTTGCAAATATGATTTCATCTTAGTGTTTTTGGCTTGTTCGAGAGGGAGGTCGTAAAACTAAGACTACTAAATTGATAGCCGGTGGTATGGGTCGACATGGGTTCAGCTCGGAGAGTGAACCCGAGTCCTTCTCCCACACATTCAGCTCGAGATAGTGAATGGTCTAAGGCGGAGGTTATGCTTAATGCGGCAACTCGGTGTTCGAGAGAAACTGAGTTGATTCGGGGTAAGTTGCTCGAGAGAGAATTTACCCCCACTATAATCTTGCCTAGTCACAAATGTTCAACAATTTACTATCAACAACATGTACCCGATAGTCTAGTTTATCCCGTATTCCTATCACATCCCAAGAATCCCATCTCCATATCTCGTTTCCTTATATTTTTGCTCTTTTTAGTTGTTAATTAATACAAACCTCCAATGATAATTGACGCTTGTGTCACCCCTTAGATTTAGTATGTTTATATTCATTAATGCTTATAGCTATGACTAATTAGAACTTCATTTTATTTTTCTATTAATTCTCAAAACCACTCCCTGTGGGAATGATCCCAAACCTTGGTTGGGGTATATCACTACACGCGATCGTTTGGCACTTGAACCGAAATAGTGTTAGTTGATTACGTCGAACATCACAAAGCATGCCTCAAAAATGTCACCCACAACCGAGAAGTCATCCATGAAGACTTCCATTGAATCATCCACCATATCAGCGAAAATAGAGAACATGCAACATTGAAATGTTGCCGAAGCATTACATAATTCGAATGGCATCCTTTTGAAGGCAAAAGTTCCATACAGACAGGTGAAGGTAGTTTTTTCTTGCTCTTTCGGAGCAATAGAGATTTGATTATGCCCGTAGTACCAGTCCAAAAAGCAATACCATCCTCTTTCTGAAAGGCGATTAAGAATTTGATCCATGAAAAGCATGGGAAAGTGATCTTTTTCGGTCCAAGAATATAACTTCTGATAATACATGCATATTCGCCATCCGGTCACCGGTCTCATAGAAACAAGCCCCCCATTTTCATTTGGGACTACTGTGAGGCCTCCCTTTTTCGGTACACATTGTACTGGACTTACCCATTTTATATCCACAATAGGGTAGATCACACCTGCATCCAACAACTTTATTATATCCTCTTTTACCACCTCTTGCATCTGTGGGTTCAATCTTCGCTGATGTTCTACACTCAGTTTACAATCACTATCAAGATCAATTTTGTGAGTGCAAATGCCTGGAGGGATGCCTACTATCTTAGCGATAGTCCAACCAATAGCATTGATATGCCTTCTCAACACCTCGAGGAGCAATTTTAATTGCCATTCAAGTAAATCAATTTTAATTATCACAGGTAAAGTGTTATTTACCCCCAAGAAAGAATATCGGAGATCAGATGGGAGTACTTTCAGCTCCAGATTCGGTGGTTCTTCTTTTGATGGCTTTGCGTGAGGACTTTCTTGATTTTTTGGATGAATGTCCAGCTTCAGTGGAGTCTTAGAATAATTCCCCATGCCTAAGAGCGCAGCTACTACCTCTTTGTAGCCTTGAACTTCGAACTCATCATCGTTAGCAAGCACGGATTCAAGTGGTTCACTCATACACATCAAATGACTCAAACTAGCCACCGCCTCATCATTAACATCAATAGTAGAGACCACATGAATATCGCTTGGGTGCTTCATTGACTTACAAACATTAAAAGTTACTTCATTTCGGTCACCCGGAACATCAGTTCTCCGCTTTCAACATCCACTAATGCTCTCCTGGTTGCCAAGAATGGTCTTTCCAAATGATGGGAATTTCAGCATCTATTTCACAATCGAGAATTACAAAATCAGCCGAGAAAATGAACCGGTCAACCTTTACCAAAATTTCATATAGTATCCCCACAGGGTGGTTGATAGATAGATCTTCCATCAAAAGTTTCATTGTTGTGGATTTTGGTTCACCCAATCCTAGTTGCTTATAGATTGCGTATGGCTTTAGGTTTATACTTGCTCCCAAATCACATAGGGACTTGGCGAATTTGAGCATACCGATAGTGGAAGGAATGAGGCTCCAGGATCTTCCTTCTTTTTTATTTTCTCATTAGTCATAATTGCACTACAACTATGAGAGACTTTAAATGTTTCAAAGTCCAAGTTTCTTTCTTGGTGACTAACTCCTTCATGAACTTGTCATAACTCGGCATTTCAAACAATTCCTCCCCTAGAGGGAGCCTAATCGATAATGTATAGAACCCAGATAAAAACTTCTTGAACTTCTCATCTCATTCTTCTTTTTTAAGAATTGGGGAAATGGGGGAGATATTTTGGGTAAAGGTTGCACAACTTTTGGGATTGGATTGTGTTTCTCCACATCTTTTTGTGGCCCTTTGGCCATTCTTTGATGGAAAGGCATTTCCTCCTCCTCCATACCTTTGTCTTCTTCATGTATTTGAGCTTCTTCATCATTTCTCGTCACATCGCCTATTGCTACCTTCCCACTACGAGTAACCATAGCAAGACCTCTATCGTCATCCTCCCTTGTCATTTTTGGCTCCAATTGTGCTGAAAGTAAACTCAACTGACCTTCAAGTAGCTTGATTGCATCTGCGTGAGAGTTCACGTTACTGATCAATGATGAAAAATCGGCTTTCATCCCGTTTAACAAGTCCTCTGACCCTTTAACTTTGTCGAGGATGCGTGATAAAAATTATTCACTCTGGGACTACTTGCACTCTCTTTCGACTTTGGGCTTTCACTCGATTGAGTGTGGTACTCTTCATGATCATCCTCCCTTTTCCGATCATCACTTTGCTCAGCCAATTCTTGAAAGTATCTTTTTTGGTCTTCTTCCTTGTGATAGTTCCAACGTCGGTTCCCACCTCGCTGTAAATAGCGTGGGTGGAAAACCTCCTCGTATTTCTTGGAATTCCAACCTTGATTCTCCTTCGGCCATGAATAACCTGATGAAGAACCCTCATTAACTCTAAACACTCCCCTTGCTCCCTTAGGCTTTTTCACATTCTCCAACATATGCTCTTGTAGTAGCTCCATTTGGGCCAACATCTTCTTGATGTTCTCATCCCTTTCTCTTACCTTATCAAGTTGCTCTTGGGTCATTCTAAGATAAAAAGGAGAGACTTGATCCTCTTGAGTGTACCGAGCTCAATTTATCTTCGTCATGTCGTCAAGAAGAAACGAAGCCACCTCAAATGATAGCAACATTATTCATGCTCGAACCAATTGGTCAGCCACTCCTTTATTAACTGAATCAAGACTTCGGTAAAAATATTGGAGTAACAAATCATTTTGTAGCTCCTGAGTTGGGCATTGAAGTAGGAGTTTCTTAAACCTCAACCGCGTTTCATGGATGGGTTCACCTTCCAATTGCTTAAACCTTGAATGTTATCCCTGAGTTTCATCATCCTCAATGGAGGAAAAAATCTTGTATCAAATGCCGTGATAATCTCATCCCATGACGTGATGGAATTCTTTGGTAGCTCAGCTAACCACATACTAGCCTCCCCCTTCAGGGATAGTGGAAATAATCTAAGTAGGATTGATTCTTGTGTCACATTTTTGAATGAAAATGGGCTGCACACATATATGAAATTCCTCACATGGTCATGTGGATCTTCGTGACCCAGCCCACCATAACGTCCCTTTATTTGGAGGAGATGAAGGATTGTACTTGTGACTTCAAACATCGCGTTCTCATCAATTGTTGGTCAGAAAATTACACTCATTTCTCACGATTGGGTTGGGTTGTATACACTATTAATATCATCGATACCATCTCGGTGTCCTTCTATGCTACCATTCACCTCTTTCTCACTCATTCTTACTTCTATTCAGCTAACGAAGTGCAGTCTAACTCCGCTCAACTACATCGAACAAATTCACAATCATAACTTCAATAAAAGAATTCTAAACAACGCTACTCCCTGGCATCGGCGCCATTTTGATTAACGTTTCAAAGACACTTCATCAGGTTCTAAGTATCGACGATTGTAAATCAGTATAAACCCAACTAAATGAGTTTGGGTCGATCCCACAATTAGTAGCTTTCTTCTAAATTCAAATATGAAAATATGACAGTGACCTTTGCAGCCGAACAAACACCACACTTAAGAATTTATAAGCCAACTCCAAGATGTCGTTACCAAACCACTTCACCAATCAATAAGGAACAATCAAATAACAAGATAATACTTGGCAGATTGACTAACCAACTGTTGAATTTAACTTAACGAGTGTACATCATTACCAACAATGTTAATTCGTTGTGGGTAGAATGGACTATAAGTAAAGCAATTTTCTCTTGAACAATTACCTTATTTCCGCTGAATTCTCCTTCAACACTATCCATAAGACGCCCAACCCACTTTCTCATCAAATCTACTCTTTCGAGCTAGATACAAAGGCTGAATCTCAAGTTTCACTTTCTCAAGCTGAAACCGTCATGACCCACTACTAAGGATGCCAGATTACTATGTTGGCTCTATACTTCTCTCATGAGCAAGCACAAAACTCTTAACTATATTGCATTAAACATGCAATAATGAAGTTAAAACACAATAATAATTTAGACCCACTTTAAATTAACACTAAAATTCACTAATTGATGACACCCATTTAGTCAAATGCAACAATTAGTCACATTGTCAAACCCACAAGGTTAGGGTGTTAGCCAATGATGGCAAAAAGATGAAATTCAATATCTTCCACATTTTCCATAGTTGGGTACATGAAATTTAAAAGTAAAGTTGAATAATATCTTCTCTATTACAAAACCAAAATGAAAAACCTTGCTAAAATCACTTGAAATCAACAATAATAGTGTTTTTGCTCTCTATCTTTTGTTCCTCATATTTTCTGAATGCTTTCTCTCTCTTGCAAAATCAATTTATACAAATATGGTGTGTAACTTTTTGGGACCAATCGGCGAGGACAGTTGAGCGTCGTCGATCGTTCGGTAACTCGCTGATCGTCCCTTCGTCTCGCCTTCATTCTTCCAATCTTCTTCATCCATCCACTGTAATTTTAGGGGAGCCAGATAAGGATCGCCATTTAATTCCACGAGTCACCCTTTTGTCTTTTGATTCGCCCATCAGCATTTTTCTAGATCTCCATATGTACCTGTGGCGACATGGTCGTCCTTTGTCGATGCGATCGGCGTTTCACCGAATGAGACTATTACTCACCGAAGTTACTCCTAATCCAGCCTAAGAGTTCTGTAATTTTAGGTGGTAAAGGAGCAACTTAGCAATTTGTCGAGTGATCTCGGCGATCATCAGGCTTGTTTTTCTTCTTCTCTTTTTCATCTTATGTTGTCGTTGTTGCCCATTTGTGTCCTAGCTTTGTTCCTCAATCAATATATCTGATAATCGAGGGTTTTAAGTCAATTATTTGCACAAATTAAGCATTTGGGAAGACTAATTCTATACAAACAAACCCCTAAATGAGTCCAAATCTCTGACTCATCAATCTCCAAAGGCTGTATTTACCATATTGTTAGGGTGAGGGATGTTGAATCTAAAACCCCTCCTCTAGAGTCAGTTCCAATAGTTAATGAGTTCTCGAAAGTTTTCCCCGATGATTTTCCCGGTATTCCTCCCGAGTGGGAAATAGATTTTGGTATTGACATTTTACCAGATATACAACCTATCTCTATTCCTCCTTATAGAATGGCTCTGGCGGAATTGAATGAGTTGAAAGAGCAACTAAAGGATTTATAAGATAAGGGTTTTATCCGACCAAGTATGTCTCCATGTGGTACTCCCATGTTGTTTATTATAAAGAAAGAAAGATGGGTCTCTTAGAATGTGCATTGATTATTGTCAATTGAATAAAGTGACCATCAAGAACAAATATCCTCTTTCGAGAATTGATGGTTTATTGGACTATTTGCAACTACAAATTAATTAAATTCATCCACAACCACTAAACAAAATCACATTTTAACTACGAATAGACTATCAACAAGCAAGACCCAACAATTATCTTAACCCATATTCGATAAATCACACCCCAAGAATTGGGGGTTTTAGCCACTCATGTATAAGAGATAGAAATTTTTACCAAATTGAGCTCGCATTCAGCTGGGTATGAAGATTTAAGTCTTGATACAGGCCAAAATTGAAGAATCCAAGAGACCCAAATCCAAATTTTGATTATGAAACCCTTTGGATCTTCAAGTCTTCAAAACCCTCTCAAACTAGTATTTATAGTTTTCACAGATTTGTGCTGCAACAGATCATTCGGCCTCGTTAGTCGGAATCGTCGATCAACTTGGCGATTCGCCTTTTGGTGTAGTTCATCGCCGTCTTGCACCATCCTTCAGCATCGTCGTGCAATGGGTCATTGGGCGACATGATACTGCTTCACGGAACTTCTTGGCGATGCGCCGACTGCTCTTTTTTTCCGCTGACTTGATCCTTTCTTTCAGGGCTCAGCACACTCTAACAAAAGGCAAAGTAAGACCCTTCGGCAACTCGCCAAGTGGACTTCGCGATCCTTAGGCCTTCATTTCTTCGTTCTTTTCAGCCTTTTCATTCCTTTTTGTGACTTAGTGTCCATGCTTTCCTTCAAACTTCAAATACCTGAAACTTAAGGGTTTTCATTAGATATTGAGATAAAATAAGCATTTGAGGACACAATTTATATTAAAACATAGCCCTAGATTAGTCCAATTTGTG